TATATCTTCTTCATACATCAGCCACACTTCCAGACTACTGCATCAAATATTTAAATATATGAATGTTTGTTGGTCGAGGATGATTAATTTGACCATCATCGTCAATTAAGAACGTTATATGGACATAACATTGTCATTTCAACGAACAAAACATTTGACACAAAACAATTTACTGTCGTCGACAGCCTAATACATTTCACTACTAGATATAACGATTGGAGATTGTAATAACTGTCAAACACCAAGTGGTCACCGGTGACCGGTACTCGACGCGTTAAAAGGAGTACATTTATCAATATGAAAAAAAGAGACAGACCTCTGAGTTTGTCTCGGCATTTCTTCTCAGAGTAGTCAGTTAGGAAATGTCGACCTCATCGTTCGCTTGATAAAATTGACGTGTAAAAGTGCTGCCTTGTAGCCTATTTGCAGAAATAAATTTACTTGTTTCACTGGAATGGGACCGTCGAGAGAGGGTGCCTTAGATCATGGTTAAGTCGCGGAGAACCTAACGGGTTACCGGGGCTCCGGCTCGACGTGCAGGAGAAGGAACGCGGTGGTTTTTAGTCTGTAAGAGTCTGACACTCCCTCCCACCTCACCCAGGCGGGAGCAGTCAATCGATGATTTTCCCCCCTTAAAAAAAAAAGATCATGATGCAAAATAATTTGTATTTTTGGATTTTATCCGTCAAAAACCCGCGCGAATGCCCGACTGGGATAGTGTTGGTGTTACCACGTTCGGTAACTAAATCAATCCACAATATTACTATTTGGCAGTATAGTGTTTGAAATACTTAAATAATATTATTAGTGACAAGTATAAATACAGTGAGCGATAAAATATATGAGTGGTACATGATAATGACCCTAGATAATGTCGACCAGATTGGCGATATATTAAAGAACGGCCAAATTAAAAGTGCCCTTAACCGACGAGCATGCATGAAAAGACTGACGACTGTTGATGAAGCCATACATAGAAGTATACAAGGTTTAGTTTTGAAACCGAGTCATTTCTCGGGGGCATGTCACAGAAGGTATAAAGGTTCAATGTAAGTAAAAGTTTCGGGCCAGTAGTTAAAAATACGGCTATAATAAATCGTTTAAGTTCGACAGTGTTTCAGAATAAGCGACAGCAATGATTTCGTATTGGAGTTTTATGGAATTAGGAACAATATCAATTACGTGTTTGAGTTTGTGTGTGTTGAGCCGCGTTACAAAACTAGTTACAAGACGGCGGCGTGTAGTTTGCACTTACAGATTTCCATAATTTACAGAGAAATGAAAAATATTTACCAACAATTTTTTTTATTGATTCGGACTCTGAATCGATAGCCGAGTTACCTCCTAGAAAATGACGCGGCTTTAAAACAACACCTTGTACAAGAATAGTAGCAATTGGCGATCACCTGTCTACACCAAGAGACAGGCGTGAAGTTTTATGTAATGTAGATTTATCAGAGAACGCTGCTTCCCGGTCTTTTTTAAAATAGTATGTACGGTACGGTATGACTGCCTCGTTGGCCAAGTGGTCGCAAGTGCGACTGTCGGGCAAGAGGTCTCAGGTCGGTACCCGAGTCGGGTAAAGTATAACTAGGTTTTAAAAAAATCTCTAGTAGCACGGAGCCTGGAATTGTGCCCGGTATATGGCAATAGGCTCACCCCCTATTACATGGGACCCGTGACAAATAGGGGAAGGTGGGTGTTGCATTGTACAGTCCCTATACCCCGGGGATGTCGCGGAGAACCTAATGGGTAACCGGGGCTCCGACTCGACGTGCAGGAGAAGGAACGGGGTGGTTTTTAGTCAGTAAGAGTCTGACACTCTCTCCCGCCTCACCCAGGCGGGAGCAGCCATGCATGATTTTCCCCCTTTAAAAAAAAATAAAAAAAAAACACCCCAGGGATAAAAGGCGTGATGTTATTTTATTTACGATAGTTCCTGAATCAGCTCTTACGACAATCCCGGGATGAGTAAGCTTTGTGATAAATGAATTGTATTCTTTCATCACCAAGCAGCGTGCGGTTAGAAGTTATTTTTTATCTTTGAACTCGATAATTGAACAAGGCAATATCAGGCAGTTCCCTTAGTCACACAGTCTCGCACCCACGTATGAGACGGGACGGTTTTAGTCAGTGAGAGACTGACAGTCCAAGGGGATATTCACATGGAGAAGACAATGATGTCTTCCTTTGTCTTGTCATCTACGATAACTCTCGTAAAATAGAACATTTTATAATATATTTTACACCTCATCGGTGACCACCTGACGATATCCGTTTCTGCGCGCGCCTCAAAGAGCCACCACGGATGGGGCCCAATAGGGCTGATGCCGATTCGGAGTCGCGGAGAACCTAACGGGTTACCGGGGCTCCAGCTCGAAGTGCAGGAGAAGGAACGGGGTGGTTTTTAGTCAGCAAGAGTCTGACACTTCCTCCCGCCTCACCCAGGCGGGAGCAGTCATTCGATGATCTTCCCCCTTAAAAAAAAAACGGTTATCACCTTCTTCGAGGAACAAAGGATGTGATATCATTGTAGTATCGATGTTACGTAAAACTAGAATTGTTTTATTTTTACAATTTTCATTTTTCAATCTTACCGCAGACCTACACCGTACTATTTTATTGATTAAAACATGTAACTGATAAGCTGTAATGGTTTCAATAAAACTGCTATGAAAAATGCAATTACCTTATATGCAATTAATATTCAAATAACTAATGAAGTATAAAGTAACAAAGATTTGCCAGAAAATGAAACTTCAAGTGAAATACCAATCGACTAAAAACAAACTTTGGTGTACCCCAAGGAGGTGTGCTCGGCCCGTTACTGTTTCTCGTGCATAATAAAATTGTAAACAAGGAACCAGACAAGGTAAACTTAATATTAAATACGCTGACATTATTATTACTATGCACATAACGTTCCTGGGTTTCTATATATACGATAATTATATGAACGCTGTTCTACCCGCGACTTTGTCCGCGTAGAATAATTTAAAAATAAATCTAAATTAATTCAAAAACTTTGCCCGACACCAGGATTTTTTCTTGTGTCGTGAGTGCGTGTACAAACTTACTAGTTCACATACACATCACACCCAGACCCGGAACAACAATTTGTGGATCGCACCAAGAGTTGTTCCGTGCAGGAATCGAACCCGCGCCACGTTGCGCGGGAGCCGGTTCCCTAGCCACCGCAACAACCGTATTGTCGACGATAATGACTTCAAGCTGAATTTGTATCTGTCAGCTCCATCATCAGGTCGACTTCAGACCCTTATCAAATTGTAGTGTTTAAAAATCGTAATTGAAAAACATAATAGACGCATTACTCGCCCATAGAATTTTCGAAAGTTCCCCTCGGTTTCCCTAGGATCCCATCATCAGATCCTAACCTCATGGAAATGGGACCATCTCGGGAGTATACCCTTTCAAACAAATCAAGAATTTTGGAAATCGGTTCACAAATGGCGGAGTACTGCGCGAACAAACAAAAAACACAATCAGCCGTAATAGTACCTCCTCCTTTTTTTGAAGTCGGTGAAAATTAGTCATCTACCCTATTGTCTTTACGATTTATAAATCGGACAATAGGGTAGATGACATAAATCGGACAGTAGGGTAGATGACTAATTTTCGATCCGTCTATTGTATTGACTGCCTCGTTGGCCGAGTGGTCGCAAGTGCGACTACGGGACAAAGGGTCTCGGGTCCGATTCCAGGGTCGGGCAAAGTATTATTAGGTTTTAAAAAAAAATCTAAGTGGTAGCACGGAGTCTGGAAATGTGCCCGGTATATGGCAATAGGGTCACCCCCTATTACATGGGACTCATAACGTAAATAGTGAAAAGTGGGTGTTACTTCTGTGTGCACCTCTGCCTACCCTTTCGGGGATACAAGGCGTGATGTTGAGTAAGCAGTATTTGGTGGCTTTTTAGAAGTTTTTCTATTAATTTCGGGTTACATTATCGAAATTTTTACCCGGTTTTTTTTTCCTTTATTAAATATAGCTTATGTTCATCAAGGATAATGTAAAAGAATTTTTCAAATCAGTCCGGTAGTTTCGGCGTCTATTCAATTCAAACGAAAAGTCAAATCTTTCCTCTTTAAAATATTAATGTATAATTATGTAGATGTATGTAGATTGAAAGGTATGTCACGAATTCATCGAAAAATGCTTATCAGTAATTTTATTATTCTAAAAATTCAAACCAGACACTAGATAAAATTACTAGACCTGTCCACAAAAATTCATAATGTTTATTTGACTTATCCTGTACGGCTTGAATCAACATGAATTCACGATAAACGCAAGATAACCATAATTCAATTGTATTGTAACTACATAGAGTTGAAAATATGTTACCGTTTGTCAGTTTTGGGTTTAGCTTGTTCTGCTGGCTTGTTTGCTTTGGAATGGGTGAAAAAGTGTAATGATGTGTATAGCTCGGCATGGATCGGCTCGGTCACCGTCGCGCCAGTATTCAGTACCGCAGCACGGTTTGAATGCGACGTTGTTCCGTAATTATTCATATTTGTTTACATTTTTATAAGTTGATAACATTAATTGTATCAATTATTATTTAAATTACTTGTGTTAAAATAAATATAATTAGGCACATAAATGTGTGTTGTGCCTTCTGAAAAAAATTGGTTTGTTGGTGGATAAACGGTAAACTTGTTTCTTTTTTATACTTAGTTAACTCGTCGAGTACCGGTTTTGTAGACACAATTATAGAACAATAGGTTGCGGTCACCGGTGACCGCTTGGTGTTTGACAGTTTAATAGATTTTTTATCTAGATATAAACTCTTCGATCAATAATAGTACTCTTTTTTTGATGAGGAATATCATTCAATGACTTCCCCGCCTTGTGTGAGGCGGGAGGGAGTGTCAGACTCTAACTGACTATAAACCACCCTGTTCCTACTCCTGGACTTTGCGCCGGAGCCCCGGTAACCCGTTGAGTCCTCCGCGGCTCCGTATCGTGCATCAGCCCTACTGGCCTCATCTGTGGTGGTCTGGTGGCTCTTTGAGGCTGGTGCGGAACGCAAGTTTGTAGTTATCTACTACATACCTACACTACCTTAAACAGTGTTTATTTGTTTGTTTGAAAGTGTAATCTCCGGGCCGAATTGAATAATTCTTTGAATGTGTAGCATTATTTGGTAAAACTTCAATCTCCCGTAGGTACTTAAAAGAACATACATTTTTCATAACAACAGAGTGGTAGCAGAGATAACAATCCTACGCAACAGGATGTGTGTGTGTTTTTGATTGATAATAGACCTCTGATTTGATAGCAAATGCAATGTTACGCCTGATATTCTGTAAACGAGTACATATAAATTTTACTACCTACCCTTTTTTCTTTGCACTGGCGCTAGACATGTGCAATCAGCCTAGTTTCGCTCATCAAACGACTGTTTAAAAGTACATGATGCTAGTGCATTGTCGGCGCGAATATATGGCGGTTAGTTTTTTTCTTATAGCATAAGCCGGTAATCGAGCATACGGATCACCTGATGGTAAGCAATCAGCGTCGCCCATGGTGTTGGAGCAAAAACTCTTTTGCGTCACCTCATTCATGAAGTTTATTATTATAATATTTTTTATGATCCAAATTTGATGTTTTTTTTCTATATCTTTTGTTTTTTCTTCCAATTGAATACATGCGTTCTAAGAATCCGTCAACAAATCTTTATTTTATTCTCTTTATCATAACATCTTATATAAAAACCCTTAAAATTATTAATATTACCCCTGGACTCTCAAACACATGGACACCCGACGTTACAAGTGCGTTACCGGCCTTTTGGGAATTGGGAATTTGAGGATTGTGGAGGATACGGGGATTCGGGAGACAAGAGAGAGTCGTAATTGGGCCTCCGGTAACCTCACTCACACGAAACACAACGCAAGCGTTGTTTCACGTCGGTTTTCTGTGCGGCCGTGGTATCACTCCGGTCGAGACGGCCCATTCGTGCCGAAGCATGGCTCTCCTATAGTTAAAGTTATCTAAGTAGCAGCTCCTTTACTTAAATACGAGAAAGACTACCATCTTGGTGATTTATCAATAAGAGTCGAACCGTCCACTCAATGGAAAATGTATTCATAACTTTATTATTTTCTTCTTTACAGATATTCAACATCTGATGACAAGGTTACAAATGCTGCAAGTGCTTGCACATTGGATACGGTGCTCGAGTATGTGGTCAACGCGATGTCTTGGAATGTTCGGGTCACCTGTAGCCGACAATTTGGAAACAGGCTATCATTGATAAAATTCTTCTTCTTTATCAGCTGCACCAATTTATTTGCTTTCTTATTCTGGTCCCAAGAAACATATAGACAACATCAGTCGTCTTCCACTGAGAGTTTGGTTCAAGAGGCGATCACAAATGTCGGTCATGATTACAGATATACGGACTTATACAGAAAGGTGAATACCCTACCCGAAGATTTTAAATATATTCTATTATGGACTGAGAAAGACTACGCTCCTTTCTACTTCTACGGCGAAGGACAAATAGCATTTCTCAAAAACAAATGTCAGGAGACTAAATGCTACGTAGTCGCCGATAGAAATTTCTTTGGAGGTAACTTGACCAGGTTTGACGCAATCGCTTTCAATGGACGGAACATGAACTCAAAAGACTTACCCAAGACCAGGTCTCGCCATCAGCAGTACGTATACTTTAACACGGAGTCAGCCGATAACTATCCCGTATGTAATAAAGTATTTAACAGATATTTTAATTGGACTTCTAGTTATAGAATTGATTCCGATATTCCATTTGGTTATATACTAATCAAGAACAAACTAGGTGATATTGTTGGTCCAAACAAAAAAATGTCATGGGTGAAGACGCCAAAATATTTAGACGAGGAGTATATTGATATGAATAGGATAAGAAATAAAACTAAAGCCGCGGCTTGGTTTGTGTCCAACTGTCGAAGTAGAAGCGGCCGACTTAGTTATGTCAAAGCATTAAAGAATGCGTTGAAACCCTTCAATTTAACAGTGGATATCTATGGCAAATGTGGCAAATTAAAATGTTCTAAAACACATACAACTAATTGCAGTGAATTGTTGCAAAAGGACTACTATTTCTATATGTCGATGGAGAACTCTTTCGCTGAAGATTATGTGACGGAAAAATTACTGACGGCGTTACGTAATGATGTTGTTCCCATAGTCTACGGAGGAGCAGATTATAATAGGTATGTTTGTTTGTACGATATATGTTTACTTTAAATATAGCACAATTGTTTATGTATATTCTAAATTTCCTGAAACATACCAAATTTTTCGGCTTAATGACGTAATTATTTGGCGAAGACTAGTTTATTTAAAGCCATACTTGAGGCTCATATTCATGAGCAGTATTCTGCGACAGATGACGCGGCAGTCGTCGGGTCTCCTCCCCTGGTTTACAGTTAAAGACGACAGTACAAGAGATCTTTAGGTGTACATAAATCTCGCGAAAAGCTTTTAAGTTAAACATTTATGAATTTATGATCATCCAAACTAAACGTGTATACATTTTAGCTCAGTCGGTTGAAAATATCTGCTGCAAAATTCCATTCCATACACGTAATTATACATAATTTACACATATTCACGCATAGTTTGCAAATTCAATAAAAGCTTGTGCCTAATAAATTAAAAGATGTTTCTATTATTCGCAATATTATAATTATGTATCACTAACAAGCGGAACAGTTACTCGCACAAACATATTGCTGCGTCATTTGAACAGTCACTTCAATACAATGATAACATTTGATTCATTGGCAAAAGTGAGTGTGTCTGTATAATTAAACACATGTGTAAGAAGACTGTAAATTCTGTGTTCTAATAGTAGTATATTCTTAGTCGCGGAGAACCTAACGGGTTACCGGGACTCCGGCTCGACGAGCAGGAGAAGGAACGGGGTGGTTTTTAGTCAGTAAGAGTCTGACACTCCCTCCCGCCTCACCCAGGCGGCAGCAGTCATTCGATGATTTTCCCCACTTAAAAAAAATAGTAGTATATTCTTCCAGTTTAAATATAATTATAATCAATGTTCAATAAATCAAACAGTATGAAAAATACGGGTCCTAATACAGTTCCTTGCAGCATATTGGTATCATATTTTTATAAGTATTATATATTACATCCGTAATAATATTTTTTCTTTATTTCAATCATTATTTAAAAAATTGTGAGATTGACTATCTGAATCGGGCTTGGTTTTGCCTTAATAAAGTAGTTTGTATATATCTTTTTCTCGGTCAGAGGTTAAGCATTGCCATACAACGTGGCAATGCTGCCAGCCTTCTGGGTACTTTCCCCACTGACGTCGATGCGGACGAGTTTTTTGATGCTTTATAAATAGTTTGTTTTTCCTATAATTAATTTTAATCTTAAGTTGTATATATTTAATTTAGTAATATTTAGTTTTAATTTTATTTAAGTAATAGTTGTAATTTAAGTTTTTTATTGAAATAAACGATTTGTAACGATATCTAACGCTTAACTCAAATCTAGAAACAAAACGCCAACTCTTATACTGGTTATTTGCTGAAAATTATCGAATACTTTCACATGCTCATGGGTCACCAATTACTAAACAGGGTAGGAATATAGAAAAAAAACGTTACCCAACATTAAGATTTGTTTCTGTGTCGTGGGTGCGTTTAAAAACATTATAATTTCACATACACATGACATCGAGACCCAGAACAATAACACCCGTTGTCGAGAACTTTTACCAAAAATTTTAATTTATCTTCCCCCCGCTCATGTACAGTATAACCCTAATGTAACTATTTCAAGGGGCAGCATATTGATCATTTACGAGTATAAAAATGTCATTAATTCTTGATGTTTCTTTTTTTACAGATTTCTTCCACCAGGATCTTACATCGACGCCACGAAACACCATGTTATAAAATTAGCAGCCATGATCAACGATGCAATGCATTCCCCCAAGTTATACAATCAGTATTTTTGGTGGAAAAAATTTTACACATACGATACTCCCTCTAAAGAAAACATTTGCGCATTATGTACAGCTCTCCATAATAAAACCATGATAAAGAAAAATAAGATTTATGATGATTTTCGAAGTTGGTGGTACCCTGCATATGCAAAACGTTGCCATTAATTTGCCTAGTCAAGTGCGGTGTGAAGGTGATTCCAAAATACAATATAACTCGACCAGACTAGAGTACGCCACTATACGAAATTTTTCTCCCTATTGTTCATCATCTACAATACTTATCAGTCTTATTACCACTACTCTAATTCAGTGAAGTGTCCAACTTCCAAGAGGTCGACTGCACAACTGTGTGCTGAATGGAATAGAGTTTTACATTTTTTGCATAAAGCATCGACATGGTAGACGGATGGCCTATAATAGTATGCCATGTCACTCGACAGGTTGCTTCGAGCCCCGCGGGCAGAACTGAGACCCGCGTAACGGGGCTCCCTTGTCTTAGACAAGTTTGTACAGCTCTAAAACGTATCCAAAAATATTTTTTACCGGCTGCAGCTGACGTGTAGTCCCACAGACACCGCGAAATACAAAATCACGTGTTTTACCGCCATTTTTCAAATACGAGCATCACTGCTGCGAGTACCTTACTGTATAGCGCTCGCTATACTTTAATTCTACAAAAATATTTGCTGTTGAAATGGTGTCTGGTATAATATACACCTCAGTTGAATTGTAACAATTTAACCACGTCAGTTGCAGAGGGTTAAATTACCCTTAGCATAATTTCAACCTCATTAATTTGCAATAACATATTTTGAGAGTGAGGGAAGAAAGTGAGAAAAATAAAAAGTGGGCTCTTGTACCTATCATGTAATCAGTATTTATTTATGGACCTCTAAAAGAATTTGTGATTGTGTACTTACTATAGATATCTAATAATAATTGTAAGTCTTTCAAAGACTCGGCTTCCGTTAAATTAGTCAAAGCCTGTGTTTCATTTTGTAATGAAAAGCTTTTAAAAAATTGTTAAAAGATTAAAAAAATCAACACTGTAGACTTCGCTTACCACTAGGCAAGATAGTGGGCAAAGTCGACCCATTATATATATAAAAAAATATTTCTGAAAGATTGTTGGCCTAGTTCGGTTTGAACAAAAATCTTTTTATACATAATAATATTATAGTTACAAATAGAACACCTCGAAACTCGATAATCTTCCAAAGAATGATAATTATAGTAAATAATGTGAAATCTCATTTTATTGTGTACCTTCATCACGGCACGAATCTTGGCAAGATGTTATTGTGATCAATTAGGTACGTAAGTTTTAATCCGTGGCGGCTTTTAACCAAAGAGGCAGAGATGCAAAATGCAGTGAAATAATAAACAAATCTTGTCACCGTTCGTGCCGAGTATTATACATAACATAATTATTTAAGTACTTACTTAATATAAGTTAGTTAAAAACTGTTTTGTTAACTTACAAGCTCATGTTTTTACTTGATACATTTTAAGTCGACAGAAACGAGCAAGTACCTATATTACAAAAAAAAATATTTACCTACTAAATGAATAGGAACCTCGTTACCTACAAGTTTAAATAAAAACGCTATCGTGGGAATTTACCTAGTACCTATTATAAGGTTCCATTTTAAAATTATCTACATCATACAGAGTGGGTCATAAATATGAAATGACTTACTTCTGCCAGCGGCTTTGCCCGCGGCTATGTGTTATTCCAAACTAAAATCCCCTGTTGGAAATTTCGTCACGATCCCTTCAGCGGTTTTGACGCTTCGCATTTATACCTAATATTAGTAGCATTTGTATGCAAAAATATTATGGATACAAATCTATTACACTGGTAATGAGTTACGTGTGTGTAACTGTTTTATAATTGTCTTGCTTTAAAGGTTATAGCGAAAACTTCCAATTGATAATTATTATTATTATTCCCGCGATAAGGCATTTAGGGAGCGGGGCTTAGGGGCCTACTAGCAACGCCTGTAAATGTAGCCGTGTAGCGTGTAGGTTTTTTTAAGGGGGAAAATCATCGAATGTGATCTCTCTCCCTCCCTTCTAGGTGAGGCGAGAGCGTGTCTGTCTCCTATTGACTAAAAACCACCCGTTAAGTTCTCCGCGGCTCAGCTTGTAGGATTGTCTTTAAAATGTTTTATGAATGATTTAAAATTGTTTAAGGAAAAAATATCTTAATAGTTTATTAAACTTTTATTAGTTAAAGTCTATAAGGTTAGTCTAAATATACTTTATTACTTTAATAATTATTTTTAATTTTAATTATATTTATGACACACTCTGTATAGGATGTCATTGAATTCGCAAGTGGCTGGGTGTCTGAATTTATACTAAGGCATGTACTGCCGCGGTACTAGCAGCGTTATCTAAATTATTAGGACATAGTTACAGCTTGGCAAAAATGAGTTTGACGCGGTAAGAGCTGGAACCAAAGAAATATTAAAAAAGTGTATTACTTCTTTATTATAGGAACTAATATTGAGTCATAATTGACTCAGACTGATCGCCCACTTCTGACCATATCCCATGAATAAACAATCGTTGGAACATAGTACTCCTCTTTTTTAAACTCGATTAAAATAATATCATAACCGGTTGAGTCTTAGTGTACCAGGTTGTCAAAGGTGCGATGCTAGCGACCTCAATTATTCAAAACTCTTTTTGCCAAGCTGCACTTTGGTTCTCCTCTAAAATATTTTGAGACACTCGATCCGTTACTTTCAAAAAGTTAAATCAACAGCTCGTGCGTAATAGTCTACTGCTAGCTGTACATAGGCCTTTAAGGGTTTGCCTCATTGAGGGCCGATTTTTCAATCATCAGTTCTTACCTGTAGAATAAAATTAGCAGTGGGCAGTATTTATATTTCAAATTGTACTATATTATAAATAGACTTCCATACAAACCATCATCCCCTATTTTTACCGCTTTTTTTTAAGGGGGGAAAATCATCGAATGACTCCTCCCGCCTGGGTGAGGCGGGAGGGAGTGTCAGACTCTTACTGACTAAAAACCACCCCGTTCTTTCTCCTGCACGTCGAGCCGGTAGGTTCTCCGCGAAGGGGCAGATTTTAAAAAATCTTTCTTAGTCGGTGCCTACATAACAAAATGAGTATACAATCCTAATTTCATGTTCGTGTCATTTATAGTTTACGCTCGGCGATATTGAATCAGTCAGTCAGTCAGTCAGTCAGGACAGGCTATTATATAAGTATAGATGTAAACATTGTAAACATTTTTGTAAATTATATTTGTTTGTTTGTATGTAAGTATGTTATGGTCATGTAAGGATTTGTTATTAAACTTATCGTAATTATATGGTGGTTGTTTTTATTTTTGCACATAAAAGATTTACAAATCCGTAAATAGATACATGAAACAATTAATTCATAGTTTAGTGTAATGTCCCCATATTAAAGTGGTATGCAAACTAGATACTTGATGCTTGAACTGAAACAAATTCAAACAAACAATAAGTGATCTTATTGTAAGTTTAAATTAATTCACTAGCACACTGAGAAAAAAAATATTTTATCAATCAAAATCCCTTCAACAAATTATACTAACTATGATTACTCAGGGACAAACTTTGTTATTTTCTTTTTTGCGTTTATGAAAGTCTTCCTTGATCATATCTGCAGCTTTCTCACCTATCATCATAGTTGGAGCGTTAGTATTGCCGCTCGGTATAAGTGGAATAACAGACGCATCCACTACTCTCAGACTAGTTACATTGTGTACCCTCAATCTCTCGTCCACAACACCATCCTGTCCCATCCAACATGTACCAACAGCGTGCTGTATCGACACTACAGTGTTCTTCACATAACATTCCCAAAATTCATCCGAACCCCATTCTATATGTTCACACGCAGTCACAGTTAATCTGGGAATACTTCCCTTGACCTCCCTGAAGTATGTAGTGTTTATCAAAGTATTCATGTATTTCACTCCCTCGGTAATGATTTTTAAATCATAATTGCTTCTAAAATACCCCAATTCAATAATAGGATCATCCAGGGGATCTGTACTACGTAGTTTAACTTGTCCTCTCGACAGTGGGTGTAGGAGGACAAATATAACGGTATCTATTTCATTATTAATATTGGCGGAACCTAATGCAAGACAATAATCTTTTTCTAAACTACATCCACTTACTAATTTATCAGGATCACCAGCTCCGAGGTAAGAGTTGAAAAATTGAAATTGTGGTTGTAATTTAGAAGGATACTCAAACTCACTACCATTAATTCTGATGGCTCCACATTGGACTGGATCAGGAATTGTATCAATTTGGAAAGCGGTTACAATATTTTGGAGCGCTGTCTCTAATCCGCTTTTGCCTTTATAATGCAACCGTATAGTCTGGTGATCGTGTAAATTTTTACCAACTGGCAGATCTACTAATGTCTTTATCCGTAACTTCGATAATTCCTCTCCAGGTCCTATTCCTGACTGTAAGAGAATTTTCGGACTATTGAATGTACCAGCAGACACAATAACCTCTTCAGTAGCGTATACGTTGATGTATTTCTTACTAGATGTATACACCTGTACACCATACGCACGCAAAGTACTAGAATCAATTAATACTTTAGTGACTGTGGAATACTTGGCCACTTTCAGATTAGGTCTGTCTTTTGCTGGCCTTAGGTATGATTCTGCTGTACTCGATCGCCTACCACCATACATATTAAAATGTGGTCGAGCAGCTCCAAGAATTTCTGGCCCATTAGTCTCCAAAACTCGCGGAATACCCATTTCTTCGTAAGATTGTAACCTGGAGTCATCTATAGCTTTAGTTGACGGCAAAGTTGGTGGTCTGGAGACTTTAACAGGTCCAGTTGTTGAATGGAGCCTGGCATTTTCTGGATGCTCAAAAATGACTGGATCTTCCATGTTTTCTAACTTCTTGAAATAATGCAATACTGTCTTCCAGTCCCAACCGGGTGCTATACGATTCCAGTTCTCATAATCTTCGGGTACTCCTCGTGAGTAGATCATGCTGTTGATAGAGGAACAACCACCGAGTAGTTTACCCCGAGGGTAGCTCATGGAACCACCCTGATGGGCCTGGCCTACACCCTCGTCGAAGACAGCTGTGTAATTCCAGTCATATTCAGAACCTGGCAAAGTTGAGCTGAGACCAGGAAGCTGAAACAAAAATATTGATATTATATCACCTCTTCGTGGTCCTCGCACCCTTTGGTAGGTACTCTCCTTTCACCAGGTCAACCAGTGATAATAATTGACATACTTGTATATCTCGACATAGTTACCTTTCATAAGAAATACCAATATAACTTAACATTTACAATATCATTTCTTATAAAACCTTGAACAGCTGTCTGTATAAGACACATCGGGCTTATCACAATCTAATTTTGTATAACAACTTCTAATTTCCACCATACATCTGCTTCTACTACTTACCACACTGGTTGGCGGCGGGTCGCCTCCAGCCTCGATAAGCAGCACTTTTAACTTTGGTATTTCTGAAAGCCGAGCCGCTACCACACTGCCCGCCGACCCACTCCCGACCACAATGAAGTCAAACTTCTCACAATCTGTATCAACCAAGATCTGAATTAGTAACAATTTGAATATTACACTAGTTCTCAACAGACCGTCATGTGAGAATCAATTGCCACAAAGTCCAGCCAATCGGTTTTATTATAATGCGGTACATACCCGATATCTCGTAGTTTTCAGGCCATCCTGTTTGAAATATTGCCTGGGAAATAGTCAACACACGCATTATCCATTCCACCAGAGATGTGGTTCCTAATGATTGCAGGAACTTGAAGAATTCATTTATTTCTACACTAGAAGACATTTTGATATGAATTCAAAAGTACTTTTATTTTTTAAAGGTAACGCTCATGATGAAACTTTAAAAATGAAACTTGTGTACTAGCAGTATATGCCCTCGACTGATACATAATATATGCGATCAAAGTAGGTTCGTTGTAAGTTATTGCCACGCCGGGTGACCACGATTCTGAACAACGGCGACGGATACACACATTTGTCGAGAAATAGATTGTAATTTGGATACAATTTATATCATTTGATTACGTATCCATATTTGCAGATAGTAGTTCGCATCGCAAACGTCCGTTTTTTCAGTGTTGCACAGAAATACTACTGAACATTTTGATTAATAAAGTTGATCGGAGATTGAAACATTTTGTACTAGAGTGTATAATTTGGTAAAAAGTTATGAATTTGGCATAAATAAAATACGTACAGTTCAATGGAGTAGGGTGCCTTGCCGGGGCCCCCGTATGAAAATGTTTTGGGGGCCCCGAATAAATTTTTAGTTTCTTTTGGGTTGCCTCAGACAATTCTTTAATTATAAGTAAACGCTTTTATCATAAAAATATTGTAAAAATATATGCGATATTACTGGGTTTTAAGAATTTTCAGTAGTAGCACGGAGTCTGGAATCGTGGCCGGTATATGGCAATAGGCTCACCCCTATTACATGGGACTCATTACATAAATAGTCAAAAGTGAGTGTTACATTGTACAGTGGCATAATGTGCACCTCTGCCTACCCCTTCGGGAATAAAAGGCGTGATGTTATGTTATGTATTGTAAAAAGATTATTGTTGGCCGCCAGTGTTCCTAGATAACTTTTGAAAGAGTACCTACACCAAAAGAATACATCAACAAAATTGATAATTTTCAGCACTCCCTGAACACTTTCCAGTCGACCCCCATATTTCTACCCAAAATATCGGACTGTGATAGAAGACCTATATAATGTATATTGTTTAACTTGCATAATCATTGTTAATGTGAGAGCCCTGTAATTAACTAAATATTAAATTGGACTAGTAGAATGCATTTATGTCAGCTTGGAGTTGTCATGTTCACACAAAGATCTCATTGGCGGTGGCACGTGCATTGGATCGCTAGATACCCTGCAATATGGTTGAGTTGGGCGGTGCTGGTGTACGTGTCATGTTCGTGAACGGGCGCCGTCAACTGTGACCGGTCAGCTCCAGACTGTATTATTTATTGTCTTTATGGGTTATTTTCTTTTTTGATCTCTTTGGCTAGATTTTGGTGTCACATTGTTCTCGCATAATCAAACCAAAAAAACTGTGTAACTGAAGAATTGTATTGAGAAACTGATTGGAAAAGAGTAACCTATGGAGTTTCTTGCTCGTTCTTCTCCATAGGAATCTACACCTTGGAATGAGCAAATAGCTTCACTTTTAAATTTCTATTGCTGACGTTCAAAAGTACCTTTCTGGATTAATTGAAATAAATGATTTTTGACTTTTGACTTTGACTTTAGTATTTCTTAAGTCCATCCATTTTTAATGCATACTTTATGCGAAATAAAATAAATTGCTTATTTAGAATTATGAGGTTTCTAAAATAAATATGATTGAGAAGTTTTTAAAAATGTTTGCTAATGTACGATGTGGGCCCCCGTGGCAAGGAGGCCCTTTATAATTGATACGCCCTTGGTGCAATCTACTTGTTATCCGAGAAATCGTATTTTTCCCATGAGGTAAGTAAATAAAGGTATATGTCTCAATACGATGCGACATCGTGTTACCTATTTTTGAAAATTTTCTCTTTATTCCTATTAACATATTTGGTTAACTTAGTAATAAAAAATTCGATAATTTTTTTCCTGTAATTCTTGTTTCCACTCGTCACGCAGATAGGTGCCTACTTTTAATTTCTAACATAAAATGTTAATATTGGCCAATTTGTAGGTTTGTAGATAACAGACAAATATACGTCAAAATGTTTCGCAATATGTTGCTTTCTTTTTAAATGTTAGATAAGTACCAAGAGTTTCAAATTTTTTTTGTTAAAATTCCAAATAATTATCTAGATTACCGGCAGAAGAATTATAGGTAGGTACCATTTTATCATTATTACCTACCCAACCTACTGACTTTTTATTTAAGTATTGTCCGTAACCGACATGTTGTCAAGTAATAGGTACGTTTAACGCACCTGTAATACAGAAATCTGCTCATTAAATATTTTTCGACAAAACATACCTAATCAAGTAATCAGTGAGTTCGAAAAACAGTACCAGAGAACTGTTTGTATGTATGTCTGTTTGCTCACGCACGCCAATCGCTGAACATCATCGAATTACTTCTCCCGCCTGGGTGAGGCGGGAGCAAGTGTCAGACTCTTACTGACTAAAAACCACCCCGTTCCTACTCCTGCCCTTCAAGCCGGAGTCCCGACAACCCGTTAAGTCCCAGCCGTATTGGGCCCGTCTGTGGCGGTCTGATGGCTCTTTGAGGCGCGACGCGCCTACTAGCAATTGAAGTGAAAGTAAATTATTAGTACCTACGTATTCAGAAATTAAACCACCCAGTACCAAATATACCCAATTAATATATTTATTATTTAGTAGTAATATATTACATAGGAACGATTTGCCTGTCAGAAAAATTAAGTCCGTCAACGAGAACATGCTATTTTATAAGTATAGAATCAGATAAGCCTGGGCGTCCGTTCTGAGCGCGCCTCAAGTGGGCCCCAGTATGGCTGATGCCCGATCTGGAGCCGCGTAAGACCGCGGACCGGGTTGCCGGAAAAAAGCAAGAGGAATTACAGGGTGTTTTTTAGTCAATAAGAGTCTGACAATCCCTCCCGCCTCACACGGCCGGTAGAAGTCATTAATGATTTTCCCTCCTCAAAAAAGAAACAAATAGAGAGGTTATAATTTTTTTTGAAAATATAACAAAAATTTAGTTGAAATCACTATTTTAAAGCCATTCAACGATGATTTTCGTGCATGAGATGACAAATATGCAAATTTATCTACGATGCAAATGAACAAAAAATTCTGTCTTTTTTATGATCCGGATAAAACCAAAGAAATGCAAAATTTAAAGTGGTTGACATGAGAATTGACTCAGCGATAGTTTATACTCCTGGGCTACCAATGAAATACTTTTTTACCCGAAAATGAAAATAAAAAAGTAATTATATAAAAATGTTTCAACAACGCTTCTCTATTGTCAATGTCTTGCTATCTTGATACACTTGATAGCAAAATATTATTGCTCACTGTTATTGCTGCTTTAAAAGTAAAAAGTTTACTTTAAAAAGAGTATAGTATGTAGGCTTTTGAAGTTTATCTTCAACATGACGTGTACCTTTAACTTCGTAGTGCCAGCATTATTATAAAGTTTGAATTTTTATGTTCAGGAAAGTGCTATTGGTGCTATACTGTTTGGTGGTGATGCGCTAAACTTTATCACAAACCATAGATATAAAAACAGTGTGTCAATCTGATACAATATCTGTGAAGTTGTGGGACTCTGTGGATGTGTCACTGTCAAATATGTCATTGGTGTCATTTTACCTGTCAATGTCAATACTGACAGCGTTTTATTTTTATTTTTATCCTGATAGCTTATCAACAACTTCAACAGGTAGCCAATGAGGCAATAACATAACCAAGATTGTGCATATAAATAAACCGCACTAAGTGCTGACAATGGACATTAATAATTTGACCGCTAAAATGAGCTTTGAAGATTCCCCGTAAGTAATTAATTTGTTAATAAATAATTTGTTATTTTATTCGCAAAATTTGGCTCTCCTCTGGCTTATATCTGTGCATATAATTGATAAATTTTAATTAATTTATCCGTTATTTATTTTATAATTTCTATATAATATTAAATTTTATTTTTAATAACTTTAGCTAAATATATTTTTTTTGTGTTTACATTGAGGTTATAGAGGAATTTATAGCATATGAATATCAAGAGAATAAACATTAATTGAATATAATACCATTTTCTAAATGCATATCTACTGTAGTTTATTAAAACAAATAAGTATTATATTTGTCATAACTTTTCTTCACAAACAATAAATATTTAAATGTGTGGTATTTTACAAATTAACAAATTGACAACTAATATTCAACATAATATATTTTTTCTTTCTGTTAAAAGTAAAGTATGTTAATTAATATGTAAATTGAAATTAAATTAATTAAAAGTATGAATATTTTACTCTTTTAATGACCACTGCAATAAACGAGGAGGTCCATGATTGATTGGAATATTTTTACTATACATACTTCTATCGGTTGCAACAAAGCTCACACCCTGCCTGATGGTAACCTATCAGAGTAGCATAAATATGCTAACACAAGTGTATGTAGGAATCTGTGTAATTACACCATAATTTATTGTAATACAGCTTTCCAAAAATAATGGCATAATGTAACGGGATGCGCTTCCAGAATATTTATTACTTAAAGAAATGCAGCAACAATGTGTAACTACTTCACCCTGTCATAAGCCTATTCTAATTGCATAAAGTAGCTTTATAGGTACTATCGTCATAAAATCCACTGTATTTCTCTCTGTAAGATGTTACCCATCAAATGTTGTTCACGGAGTTGACAGTATTTTATCTTGCAGCAACCCATCTAAAAGTGCAAAGAGAGTGGGTTATTTAAAGTGGGAAGACTATTTTATGGCGACTGCTGTACTAGCTGCACAACGCAGCAAAGATCCAAACTGCCAGGTCGGGGCATGTATTGTGAACACCGATAAAAGAATTGTTGGCGTCGGGTAAGAATTAAATAAATATATTCTACTATTTCGCATAATCTTTTACAAAATTTATTGATATCATATCTTTTGCATCAATAGCGTGACAAAACTATATCCCTCAAACATACAAGATTCCAAGAAATAATAATCTTTAATAAATTGCCCAATCCAGAAATTGAACCCGAGGCCCCATGCACAGCAGTTGCTTTTGCGACTACTGCAGTTAAGAAGTAAGCGAGCACCTTTAAAATTAATATTTATGTATAGTATCTTCATTCATTATAATATTTTTTGTAACTTTTTCCAAGTTATTTTGTATTTTCATTTATTAAATTATTTAGACACCACAAACGATGAAGGAAAACATTTTCAAGAAGCCTGGGCTTATAACCTATGCCAACCCGCATTGAGTGAGCATGGAGATTCTCCGTGCAAGAAGAGGCCTTTGGTCACCATTGGCCACATATAGGCTGGTATGATGATGATGATGACCTTAATTTATATTAAAATACAAATTACAGATATAATGGAATGCCTAATGGATGCTCCGACGAGGTGTTCGACTGGACTCAAACCAATAAACAATTATATGGTAAGAATTTTTGAGTTTCCTATTTGCTATATTTTTACCTTTCCTATTTCTGAAATTTTTTTGGTCCATGAATGGTTTTAAAATTTTTTATGTCGGTCCGGTATACGGCATTAGGCTCACCTCTATTACATGGGACTCATAATATGAATAGTGAATAGTGGGTGTTACATTGTACAGTGGCATTAAGTGCCGTAATGTACACCTCTGCCTACCCATTCGGGGATTTAATGGCATGATGTTATGTTATGTAAAAAACACTAAATGATTTTGATCACTTGGGTTGTAAGGTAGTGTTTAATCCTACACAGGTAAACTTAATAGGTACATTTTTTAGGAGTGACTGGCCTTGAATTGATAAATACCTACCTATGTTGCAAAAAATGCATTTATGTGATATATCTATATTTTATCTATGACATATATATCTGCCTGATTAAAAACTGCATTTCAGTACCTATTACACTGCACTTGTATCTAATCTTCCTCATCGAGTATAAAATTGCAAAACCCCATTGACATTGACAAAGGGCAGTAATGTTATCTTTATCAATGATGTAAATCTGCCGGATTATAAACTGCATTTCAGTACCTACACTGCACTTGTATCTAATATTTTAAAAACGTTATCACTAAGTGCAATAAGTTAAGCATTTTAAAAACGCAGCTGTTTTTCAAGGCCAGTATTAATTTTTTTTTGGCATAATCCGGTAAACGAGCATACGGATCGCCTGATGGTAAGCAATCGGCGTCGCCCATGGACACCTGGAACACTAGAGGCGTTACAAGTGCGTTACCGGCCTTTTGGGGATTAGGAGTTTGAGGATTCAGAGATTGGGGAGATTGGGGAAAGGAAGGTAATTGGGCCTCCGGTAACCTCACTCACACGACGAAACACAACGCAAACGTTGCTTCACGTCGGTTTTCTGTGAGGTAAATTAGTCAATCATAAAATATTGTTTTTTTCGTAGTAGGTATTAGCTTGGACCCTAGTAACATAACGTCCCGCCTTTTAATCTTCGAAAGGGTGGACAGAGCCTAACAGAGGTGCATGTAATATTGATATTAATACACAATGATGCACTTCTCTATGTAAGAAGACTGATGATGATACATTGTATAATGCTTAACGTAACTGATGTCCCGTTTTTAAGGGGCCTGTCCCTTTTATAATTACGACTATTACGAGTCCCGCTGTCCCCGAAATTAATTCTGGGAAGCAAAGTCGTCCCGTGTAGGGGCAACAATTGGGAAAATCCAAATAACACATATTTTTGACTCCATGCTATTAGTGAGAATTTTTTGAAAATCCAATTATAGGTCGAGCCAGGTATCAAACCTGAGATCCTTTTCTCGGTAGGCCTTTTTTGAGGAGGAAAAATCAACCAATGTCATCTCCCGCCTTGAGTTAGGTGAGAGGGAGTGCCACTCTTACTGAGTAAAAACCACCCCGTTCCTACTCTTGCTTTTCGAGCCGGAGCCCCGTCAACCCGATACCCGGCTATTCGCAGCTCCTTATCGGACAGCCGTGGTTGTAACACTTACCCAGTTTTATAGTTTAGGTACCTACTTATTTCGTTATTTATTTGTTCTAGAAATTGCAACAGTACAACAATAAATATTTCTCGGAATTATTAAATACCTATGTTGCATTTAATTGTACCTATTAATAATAAGTATTTATCGGTAAATAATTATCATTGCACTTTTATCTAATCTAGGTACCTACTTTCGCCGGGACTTACCTACTTTTTTCAGGCGGAACCTAATTGCAGCAGATTGTTAATACGCAACTACTAAATACCTACATACTATGTAATTCTATGAAATCTTAATATAATGTTAATCTTATCGTGATCTTATATTTCCTTTCCCTAATTTCGAAGTAAAAGGTTCTACTATACAGCATGTGTCATACTTACATAAATATAAAAAAAGTATTACTATGTCATTGAAATGTATCTAATATACTTAGCCTTTAACTTGGCCTAGTCAAAACTTAAGATTCACAGATATTTTATCCCAAAAAAATAAATCTTTCATAAAACATTTTAGCGACAGCCCTAACCTACATACATATACGCCGCGGAGACCCTTACGGGTTACCGGGACTCCGGCTTGACTGCAGGAGAAGGAACGGGGTGGTTTTTAGTCATAGAATTGTAACTTCAATTCTTTTGCATATTTAGGACTGAACGTGATATTGCATATTTATAACACGCGCTATATTTTTATATTATGTTTTGTAATTATTATTATCAAAACGAATTAACCTAGTTGAAGGTCTTAATAAACATACGTTACCTACATTCTAGCATAATAGCCATATAGTCCTTTTATTAATTTCATCAGTTGGTATTTGTAACGTAGGTACATGCCTATACTTATACTAAGTTCTCTCATACGGTTCACCCTCTGCTCGCTGCTCGACTACTATTAATCATAGTGTTTTATAACCTAGCCTAGCCTTCCTTGGAATGAACTATCAAATACGAAAATAATTATAATTTGAATTGAACCAGTAGTTTCGGAGATCAAGCGACAAACTTGCCTAATGCAATTATTTTACATAGGTGTATCAGTACCTACATAATGAAAAAAAAAACTAGTAACTTTGTTATTAGAAGTCGTTGTTGACCATGAATCGAATCAACATGAGTCTAGAGGCGTCTTGTTACAGAATTCTGCAGAAATGCATAAGTGTCTAATATAAAATGAAATTCAATATAATATTTATCTTTCAGTTTGCCATGCAGAAATGAATGCTATTCTGAACAAAAACGTGATTGATGTGAAGGGTTGCGATCTATACGTTACCCGGTATCCATGCAACGAGTGTGCGAAGGTGATCATCCAGTCCGGGATCAAGAACATTTATTACATCTATAACAAACACCCAGACAAGCCCATTTACATCGCTTCTGGGAAAATGCTTGAAGCTGCTGGTGTTTCGGTTATGTGAGTAATGCAACGTTTTTGGTTTAAAAATGAAGGCCTATTATAGTGCGAATTTGTTTTTACCCGACTGCCAAAGAAGGAGGGTAATGTTTTTCGAGTGTATGTAAGTATGTATGTATGTCTTTTCCTTTGTGACCACCTGTAGCCTAAACGGCTTGATGGATTTTGATGTATGAGGTATCGTTAGATTTGTCTTGATTACGGGAGTGTCATAGGATACATTTTATCCTAAAAGTCCCACGGGATAAAGACATAATAATATTTTTTCTAAATTTCCCTTTAAAAAAATATGTATGCGGTATCATTAGATTCATTTCAATCACGGGAGTAATTAATATAGGATACGTTTTTTCTCAAAATTCCCACGGGAACATGTTAATTCTGCGTCAACGCAAAGCAACTCATGCGTTAGCAAGCAAAAAGATAGGGCGTGGCCTGGCATGCGGCGCGCGGCGCGGTGCGGAGGGGGATATGCTCGAGTATACAGCCCGATTGCGGGCACACGCATGAGGGCACACGTCGTTGACGGTCGTCTCTAAATAGCGATTTTATTCGATATATCCCTATTTGTATATATCGAAATAAAAACAGCTAAAAAGTTATAAATAAAAAAATTATTATTAAAAAAACAAAATACCCGACTGCACACTAAAAAAAGAGTAAAACAAGCCCCACAATAATATTGATCAATCAAATGCTAAAAACTAATTATGTAATACCGTTTAAACAATACCTATATTAAAATACACTACAATATGTGTTCGTAATCGATAGTTAAATAAACAGAAACTTATTTTGAATACAAATTTACTGAATATAATTTATAAATGTTGATGGAAGTTTGTAGACACAATTATAGAACAATGGTTAAAATATAAAACGAATTATATATATGTACCAGTTGAGCTTCGTTGCAAATACTTAAAATATTATGTTTAATTCATAAAAGAAAGCACAAAGAGGAGATAGTACTGACTTTTTTTTATTTATTACATCAAATCTATCTGACAATGTGTACACACGGCCACACATCAATCTATACAAAACCAGTTTATCCTGGTGTCACGTTGCATCATCTTTCCGCACATTTAACGTTCAGTTTATACTGGTTATGTAAAGCTCGATGTGTAGCCGTGTGTACCTACAACTCATGTAGGTACACGTTGTCAGGTGCTCAAGGTCATAAGGTATAAGCAATTTCGTCGGTATATGAGCCCAATGTCGTGGTGGCCCGGAGGTTTAAGACGCCCACTTCTCATGCATGAAGGTGCGGGTTCGAAACCTACCAACGGCAAGTACCAATGTGACTTTTTCCGAGTTACATGTACTTTCTAAGATTATTTAGACACCACTGACAAACGGTGAAGGAAAAACATCGTGAGGAAACCTGGACTTATAATTTCTAATTATAAGTTTGAAATCGCCAACCCGCATTGAGCAAGCGTGGTGATTAACGCTCTAACCTTCTCCGTGTGAGAAGAGGCTTTGCTCAGCAGTGGGCATTTATAGGCTGTTGATGATGATGATGAATCGACACGGTTATTATACCTATATGACTATGAGGTATGACTGTCTGTGCTATGATTGGCCTGCTCCATTATAGATATAAAAGCTCTCACTAGGCCCCCAGACGACTTTAATCAATATTGTATTGACAACTTGCGGACTCCGCGAAGTTAGTTTCGACATATTTTTTACCGACTTTAAAAAGAGGAGGAGGTACTATGTTCGGCTGTTTTTATTTGTTTGTTCGCCGATTACTCCGCCATTTGTGAACAGATTTCCAAAATTATTTTTTTGTTTGAAAGGATATACTCCCGAGATGGTCCCATTTCCATGGGGTCAGGACAGGATCTGATGATGGAATCCTAGGGTAACCGAGGGAAACTTTCGAAAATTGTAGGGGCGAGTAATGCGTCTATTATGTTTTTCAATTGAGCTTATATCATAATGATGTAACTTAATGGCCACAAAATTGTAAATTAGGTATCTATTCAGATTTTAATAAATATTTTCTATGGAACTTACGGCACCGTCTTCTCACCTATCAGTGGGTGGGTAACCTATCTATCAGAACTAATAATAGTTATTTTTTGCTTTATAGTTTTGACTTTTTGTTTGTTTTTGGTTTTTTATCTTACTTATAGAGGTATACAATAACAAACCCAACATTAAAAGAACTGATGAAATCGGTTCAGCTGTTACATTTCCGCTTTGCAACACATTTAGTGATTATTTTTATATTACGAATAATATCTGTCATACTGATATTCCCTCAGTATTATTGGTATAGGATCGGCCATCCATCCTATCCATGGTACATTCTTACGTTTTTATAAACCTCTAATTACATCTATCGTGGGTTCAATCTTCACCTGGAATGTTCTTTTATTGCCCATAGCCATATACCGGGCAAAATTCCAGACTCCGTGCTCCCTACTAAGAAATTTTCGAAAAGCCGAAAAAAGCACAGTAATACTTTACTCTACCCGGAAAACGAACCCACTACTATTAGGGAGTCGCTCTCGACCAACGAGGCAGGGTCGTTTTTGTTTGTGCTTTTTGTATTGTTACCTTTTTTTAAAATGTTAATTTTTCTTTTCAGGAAATTTGTACCCGAGAATAATGAAATCTTGCTTAATTTGTCGCCGCCCCAAATGCATTGTTAGAAATAATTGTTATTTATGTACGCACGGATGCACATCAACTATACATTACCGTTCCCAGTCTATCGTGGTCTCGCAGCTCATTCGACGGTCAATCCATACTGGTGCTGCATAGAGTGGAGCGTGATCGCGCGTACATTATGAAGATGATATATACGTATTGTTTATACATGTGATATTTTAACGTGGTTAAGTTTTATATTGACGACATCAGCATTAAGCTAATGAATGAAACAGAAATGTAAATAAATTTGTAAAATAAAATTTTATTACTTTATGTACAAGATGACACGGGTACAGATACTCCGATCACACCACTCAAATACAATTAAAATCAACAATCAAATGTGATTTACAATAACTTAATTGAACATATTTTGTGTAAAATAAACATCAACTACATCCACTGAATAAAATACATTTGTATAATCATGAAATAAATGAAACTTAGAAAGGAATAAATATTTTTTATTCAGATCTTACCTACATTCTGTGTAGGTACAAATGTTACTATGTGTCTGCTATCCTATAATAAAATATTGAGCTGAACATTTCATTCAGTGAATGTTGTCTTGGAAACGAACTGATCAAGTGTGTTCAACACAACATAAGTGCATGTATTGTTACAATTTGGAGTATTCAATTATATAATTATTGTCCAAACTTTACACATATCTACAAAAAAGAAAAAATAAACTAATTCCAATGCAAATGTTGGTTTAATTTGAGTCCATGGTCACCATCCGTACTTTTACATATTAAAACCTTAGCGCCGCATGCAGTCAATAAATTTCAAGTCAACAAAGACCTCAGAACTAACGATATTGTACAATACAAACTTAAAGTAAGAATTATTTACAAGCGTAACCTCCGGCCACGGGGCTCACTGTGCGGCGTTTGTCCAATGTTGCCACACCACAATACTTTACTTTTACACATTAAAACAGTCGTTATTTGAAATGTAAATCCTAATAGTTATGTTGTTACGTGAATATTGTTGAACACTTGAGGCCACTGGATGCTACTTCACAGACATTCCAAACCAATTAATTTTGCTAATTAGTAAAAAATACATACATAAACAATTTATCTTTGCTAAGGATTGCCATTACATAAGAGGCATTTAGAGGATCACAGGACTAGATATAACTGTTAACATTAAGTCATCATAAGACAAACATGTAACGACTATTGTTATTTTATGTCAATTCGCAACTCTAACAGTTGCAGTAATCTTAGAAACATTTTTAAAGAATGAATAACGGGTTGTAGAGGTATTAATTAACAGATACTTAATAGATATTTGAATGAAGCTCGAAATTGTTTGAAAAAGGATTTAGCTATGGGAATAATAACATAAAAAACTGTCTTACAAACTAAACAATATAAAGGAACATGTTTTTCACACCTTTTGTAACTCGAGACTCGGGAGTCATTAAACAAATTATCCTACGTCTTTATGTTAGAGCTGTCGACATGAAGATTCCATCAGTTACCAAGTTATTACAATCTAGAATACAGTTAACGATAAGTGTTCGATCGCCGCGTATCTATTCTAATGCTATGCAATAGTTAAGGTTATACTCATGAACCACTTCACTACCTTTAAAACAATTTGAGATAATTCATTGCAAGAATGAATATTAAACGAATAGAGTCGTTCACGGTACGATAATGTAAAGGCAGAAATACATTATTGTGACATATCGGTTTCATACATTTACTAAAGTTAAAAAGATACTTTTATGTCGAGGCGTGCCGTGTGGGCTGCCGAATGCTTGCAGCCGATTTGTGGCCACGATGGCACGATACGACACACCAAAATAATTAATTCTGCTTTAAGGTTTACACTGTAACTGTTTGCCTCGGCCTTCGTATATTTTACGATGCCCCTGTATAAGAATAAATTCCTGTTAACATACAGGTGTCCCAGGACAATTTTGATTGTAGGTTCCTTGAATAGACAACTATATGTGGTAAAAGAAATCTTTATAAAAAGTAACAAAAAAAAAAACATTCGAACTCCGAATATATGTATACTTTCCTTGACAAATGTAAAGGCTTCATCGTAACGATTATTTTATAGACGAACAAGAACCGCTATTAGAGCGAGAAATCAGCATCGTTTCACAGAACAAACGCTACGATCGTTACAGACATGTTCTAGGGACAATGAATTTATTCCTATTCAAAAACAACATTATTAAAACTTCGCTAACAACAAATTTGGCTACATAAATATATTCATAGAATGTTCCAGCACTCATCAACTTTGGCAGTCTCTATTCCGTAGCAGTAAGATTGGTTTTCGTAGTTCGTAGGTGTAACTATTGATTTGCGTATGACCACACTAATTCATTAATTAATATCAATATTATTAATTTGGTAATCAGGATTACCATCTTGGTAATAAGAACACGTTAATTTAAAAGTACATCTAGATTAAAAGACTTACAGCAGCGACGTCCGTCAGTCAATATGTTCTCGATACAACATTATTACTAATATTCTGATCAATTGGATATTACAATGTCTCTATATTCCGCTGAAAACGAATTGTCTAAGTCGTAGAATCTGTATAATTAAGAATTAATCACGTTACACTATTATTGCTTACAATCTCGGCACCTTCAGTATATCAAAAAGCGTTTCGAATTCGGTACTTAACACTAATTTGTAATCTATTCAATGGAGTACTTGGGGTTGTGGATCAGTACTTGTAAGACTGATTTATAAAAAATGAATTAATTTTAATTAAAAAACCTATCACTACGTTTGACAGAATTCACAATGGCATTCTCAGCGGAACACAAAGCTGTCAGCTAGGACTTTGGTCTATGAAGAGTTCAAATCGATATTTACGTTTCAGGTTTGAAACTATCGAACGCTTAGACAGTTGGTATATAGTTTTAGACCGTTTTCGAGGAAGGAGTGGCGCGCGGTGTGCTCAGTTGTTGACGGCGATCTCTTTCGGTTGGAGCGGGGCGTCGTCCGCCACGTGGTCGTCCGCCAGCTCGCTCAGCTCCGACGCCGGCTTGAACGCGATGGCGTACGGGAACTTCTTGCGACACGCTTCGATATATTGCTCTATCTCTTTCTCGCACGGCCCGAAGTCGCCGTCTCGTAGACTGTCTAGCACGTCTACACAACCCTGTAAAGTGAAAATTGGCAATTTGAAAATTACAAACTAACAGCTAGGGCAAAGTCTACATTTAGACGAACATCTCCGCTGATATTTGACATCAGAAAAGCAGTAGCAGGAGTAATAGTAATTAACAACAGAGTCAACTGTCACAGGTCCACTATACATGCTGCGGCGCCTATAGACACATGACATATCTCGTAGAAGAAGGTTTAAGTACAATGAATATTACTATGATGGTAAAGCAACCAGCTGCCGCGCAACGTAGGTATTGCGGGTTCGATTATTGCACGGAGCCACTATTTGTGTGATCCATAGACCGTTGTTTTGGGTCTGGGTGTCATGTGTATGTGAATTTATATGTTTGATGACACAGGAGAAATTCGTAGTGTTGGGCAACGTTTAAATAAAAAAAAAATATGTGAGATTGCTAGTCGATTTCTGAGTTAGATTTGACCTGTATGGAGAGGTCGGGGTAGTCGAGCGAGGTGGCGAGCTGCAGCGCGTGCAGCGCGCGCGGCGGACGGAGGCGCCGCAGCGCGCGCGCCGCGCTCAGCGCGCCCGCCTGGCAGCGCGCCGCGCCCGGCTGCGACACGAACTGCTCCGCCATCTCCTCCGTGCTGCGCCCGCGGACCATCTGGGGACACAGTACAACACTCCTTTACTCAATATTTCACCAAATTCTAATAGAAACTCAGAAGAAGGAAAAAATTATCTACATTTGATCGGGCTTAGGTATTCTTGAATCCAATTGCGTACTCTGGGTACTATTTCGACTAGGATTGGAGTTGTCTTGAGTTGACATTGAATAAATATAGAGATTTTATTGGATAAACTTGAAATTGACATTGAGATAGATTCGAAAAATAAGATCTGTGATAGTAAGCCATCAGTCTCGCTCTTGGACATGTTAAAATAGCGTTGGCGGCTTTTAGGGGGTTAGACCTCCAGCAACTTCACTCACACGGCTGCAAACAACGCAAACGTTGTTTCACGCCGGGGAAAGGAAGGATAAAGGATTACGTTTCCTCCGGTCGAGCCGGCCCATTCTTATAGAGATAATATTATGGGCTTGTAAGGTTATTCGTTACTGAAAGATGGACTAATAGGTAAATTAAGATTGTGTATGTTACCGGTTCAATTTCCTTGGTGATAACGGCGGCGACGGCGGGGTTGAGGCTGGCGAGGTTGTCGTCCAGCCAGCCCTGGAACCGGAGCAAGCAGTCGTGCAGGTGATGGTGCGCCGCGTCCAGTCGGTGCGCGCGCTTTATGCTCTGCAGCATCAGCAGGGGCTTGTCTGGAAACACAAATAAACATATACTTAAAAAAAAACCAAAAGAAACGCTTTTATTAATGTGTCCTTGTGACCAGCAGAAATAACGACACCGCTCATGGACTTGAGGACTTCAACACTTGAGGAGTTACAGTTACGTTGCTGGTCTTTTAAGGATTTGGAAGTTGGGGATGGGGGGTAAAGCTTCCAGCAAACTCACTCACTTGACTAAACACAACGCTAATATTGTGTCACGCCGGTTTTTTGTGAAGCCGTGGTTCTACTACGGTGGAGCCGACCCACCCGTGCTGAAGCATTGCTCTCCCATACGAAAGCGATACAGAAATACAAACGTAAATTGTTATAAAAATAAGAATGTTACCTTTTCTAAAGTATATTTCGAAGGCCATTAAATGTGTATCTATCCTATCTGCGGCGAGCGTTCTTAGCGGTTGTAGGAACTTGAGCGCTTGTTCTAACGGGTCCTCCGCCTGAAACATTTTAAAACAAGTTAAGTAAAAGTTATTCCAGTTAATGATCACAATAAAAATGACTTGCCTGTGACACAGGAATATTCCTACTATAGGCATATTATTTTTAAGAGATTTTTGTACCTATGTTGACCATTGTCACAATGAATAAAAATTTTATTTATTTATAAAAATCACTATGCTATAAGTATTAAATATCAAAAAAGCTTAATAACTATCAGATTAGGGGCCGATTTTTCAATGCGCAGTTAAATTTGAACTGAGGTATAACTTTCAATATTTGACAATTCATCCATACTAAAAACTGACAACTGTCAATTTTACTCCACAGTTAAGAATTAACTGATGATTGAAAAATTGGTCCTATCTTACTAATTATAAATGAATTAGTTTGTGTGAATGTTTCAATCACGTCCAAACGGGAGGAATCAGGATGATCTTTAGAAAACATTTTGGTTTGGAATAACACAGATGCTACCTTTTAACCAATGGCAACGTGGGCGAAGCCGCTGGCAGAAGCTTATATGTAATTACATATACTGAGACTGATTACAATAGTTATCTCGTAAGGAACAGATCAGTACTAGCAGAGTAATCGAACCATGGTCAACCAGTCCAGCTTCCGATCAACAATGCAATTGACTCGTAATAAATTAAGTGCATCGTTTAACTGACGTGAGCCGGTGTGTGCTAACTAGTACGTCACGATCGGAGCTCGTACGCCGCGTGACTGACAGCTTGATATTTCATTGTCACTGACGATATCTTTCTGAACAACTTTATTTAGCAATGCGATTGAGATGGTGACTTTGTTTTACTTCCAAATGGATTTCCATGATAATTACAAGTGTATAAGAAGTATGTGTCGACTAAAATTGAGTGATCGAGTGAAAAATAGTGTTATTAGAGAAAAGTGTGGATTGAAAGATGATGTAATGACAAGGATTTAAAAGGGAATGTTTAGTCAAGTCAAGATTTAAAAACGCTGGTTTGGATATGTAGAAAGGATGGATGAAAGTAGAGTAACGAAACTAGTATACAGAGCGGATATGAATGGGTCCGTCGGTAGAGGACGCCCTAGAGTAACCAGATTGGCAATATATTAAAGAAGGGCCAAATTAAAAGTACCTTTAACCGACGAGCATGCATGAAAAGATTAATGGCTGTTGATGAAGCGAAAGAGGTAAGAGTAATTGGCGTTCCCTAGTCTCTACCTACACCCATGGAAGACAGGCGTAAAGTGATGTATGTATGTATAAGTACAGGCAGCAAACGAGGAGACACCTTCACAGGAGTTCACTTGATGCAGTTGACCCATTCATGCCGAAGCATGGCTCTTGTCTCTTACACGTGAAGTGACGTGTCGGATGGCGAAAAGGGTTTCATTCATGTGACAATAACTTTCTGAGTAAAAGTCGTAATGTAACGTCAAAATAATATATCAATGCATAAGGACTTGGCAGTGATTTACTGTACATAATACCCATAAAATCTTCTCCATAATATAAATAATAAGCAGCATAAAAATCTCAATTTTTTACAAACGACACACATAAAAAGACACAACATTAATATATCTTGGAGAAGTATTGTCGCCAACTTACAAAGAAATTAATTACAACATTCTAATCATGCATTTCTCGTTAGATATTAACTTCCGTAGGAAGTAGGTTCAGTACACGGACACACGAACAATAGTCATTTGTGTTTTATTTACTTGACAAGCTATTATTGACTTTGATACAGTCAAAGTTAATCAGGCACAATTAAGGTTCATGAATGGCCTACCAGTCAAGGGCATAAGACAATATTGGAGCAAGTATTACGATTAAAAATACTTATGAAACAAATAAAATGTCACTTGTTACAAAACAATGTTTTTTTTTATCTTTCCGATTTACTGATATCGACAATAACTAGAAAAATATTTACGTATGTTTTTTCGAAATTTTAATTTTTAAACTATTGACGCGCTATCAACAAGTCTTTGTGTGAACCACAAATTATTATTCCGAGTAATGTGTATATGAAATTATGTTTGTAAACGCACACACGACATAGGAAACAATCCTAGCGTGGGTTTCAACTTACACGGGCTAGTTTGTCAGGTATGAGTTCATCTAACTGTGGCGCCTCGGGATCTCCTTGCTCCTGCTGCTGCCTTGCTTTGTGATGCTGCTCGCGTTTCACCTGGAACAGAACACAAAATATCATCATCATCAGTTCGTATTCTTAAGTCTTCTTCAAATGCTCGATCTTTGTGGATATCGGCACTCCATCTAGCTGGAAGGCATCGCAAGCTGGCTTGACACCAATTTACAACACGTCAACTTCGAAAGGTGCATTCCGACTTTATGATCCAAATGAAAGATGCAAACAGGACAACTGACACACTTTATATTTTTTTGTTTTGACGTTCAAAAGTGCCTTTCTGGTCTAATTGAAATAAAGGATTTTGCCATTGACTTTTAAAACACCGAACCACAGATGTCGATTGTTGTAACTGACCTGTACTTGAGCCTGTAGCGCACTTTCTTGTTCAGCTTTGCGTTTCGCTTTCCTTTGTTTATTCCTAAGTTTCTTCAGTTCCGAAGGTGCCAAGTTTTCTGTAACAATAAGAAAGTAATTACGTTAGATTGTATAATGTGATTTAGACACGTGCACTTGGAAGAATTCCCTACTAATATTATAAATTGGAAAGTGAGTTTGTTTGTTTGTTTGTTCCGCTTTCACGCCGTTACTACTAAACCGATTTTTGTAGACATAAAGTTAGAAGTCTGGATTAAATAATAGGGTACTTTTATCCCGGAAAATTGATATTCCCGAGGGAAAACAAAAGTATTGGTATAGATGGCGCTGTGTGTATTCGTATATATCACATAGGCTACTTTTTATCCTGTTGTGACGCGAGCGAAGCCGCGGGTAAAAGCTAGTTATCTATAAGTAGTGTTCGCTCTATATCCAACTTACTAAAACTCTGTTGTTAGTTTTGCAAGTTATGTTAATTAGTTATGCAAGAAAAAACATGATCCAAATAATCTCAGAACAGAAGCATTATTAATGATTACAAATTGCATTTTAATCGATTTTGGCAACATGGCTGATCCAGAACCAATTTCCTATCTTCTAATTTAAAAAACTAAAGCTACAGAAAGTAAATAAATATTTTGTTTGTAATGGGGTAGGCCGGTAAACGAGCAGACGGATCACCTGATGGCAAGCAATCAGCGTCGCCCATGGACACCTGGAACACCGTGCTACCGGCTTTTTGAGGATTGTTTGCGATTTCCCCAATCCCTTAGGATTGGGGAAATTGGGGAAGAGGGGGGGGGGGATTTGGGCCTCCGGTAAACCAATAAAATTGCAAGTTATGAACTATTTTCATAACAGTAACTAACTTTTGCAATGTTCAAGGTTGTTGCAGCATAAATTGGTCGTCATAAGTATCTATTATCGACACAAGTAACTCTCGTAATAGCGCATAATCAAATTGCAAATCTAATACGGGTAATTGGTAATGACCGATGTATTTAAATTTATAATGGCGGACCATGCAAAGCAATAGTGCCGCTAAATCGAATGAGCCGTAATCGGCAAAAAATATGCATCAATGAACTGTTTTACTGCATCGCCATTGACTGAATCAATCTATCGTGACTATGTAATATTCATTGATTCGGTTGTAAAAACTTTAACGCTGAACAACTTGCGTAGTTGCTGTATTCTTCTGATAGAAGTTTCGTTTCTAATAAGAAATTAAGCCTACTGGTTTTGTCCTTACAAATACAAAAGTACTTAAAATATACGGTTTTACTTGTAATTGAACAAAACCAGTAGTGTAAGATTTAGCGTTTCAAAAATGAAGTTTTAGAGTTACCAAAATGTAACGTTAAGTAATTATAATTTCATATTCCAATTATGACTACGGTGCCAATTGGGACCCTGCAGAATAAGATAGGCTTTCCTTACGCAAGTGCAGCCGCTAGCAAAAGTAAGTTAATTATAAAACAAAGGGCTAAGCCGTGTTATACCGACAATAGTGAGCCGTTGAACAAGATCATTTGATAACAGATAAGAGGTCGACGTGTTGGCTGCGCGTGAGTGAACGCAAGGGTCGTGGTCGTGCGCAAACGCATTCCACATGTCACACTTTGATATTATATTTACCTGTGTTGTGTTGACACGGATATACAGAATACATCGCGCCTGGTAGTCTAATTATTGTACTTCAAAACATTTTTATCATTTATTACAATAGTCAATTTGTAAAAAGTGAGTTTAATGATGAAAAACGCAAAATAAAACTTAGTTAATACAGATATAGTAACATTTTAAGCTTTCAGACTAATTAAAGAAAGGTTTATTTTTTATATGGTATATCCACTGTTTGTAGTAGGGGCGGATATTGTGTAGTAAACACAATGGTAGGTCGTACAGTTGACCATAGAAGCATTATATTATTGAGACAGTTTCGCAAGCATTGCAACATGCGCCGGCGCACGCCGTATGAACGAGCGCCCACACCGCCATTACAGGGTTGTCATATGTCTAATTGAAATGTCACGCAGAAAAGGGGATTACCAAATGCAACTAATATTGTTATTATTAGTATTATAAGTTAGTACTTTGATGAGTTAATAAGAACTGCACGTTGACCATGATCTTTTGGTATCATTATCAAATAAATAAGGCCATAAGGTTCCAAATGGCCTAAAATAAGTGTACTTTTTTATATGATAATAATTATCACAGAGTTTTATTACTCAATCATGTCAAATCACTTCGTTCTATGTCCGTTTGTCAAGCACTTATTCTCAGAACACATCATTAAAAATTATAAAGCTAAAGAACTTGATTTTGATTGCACGTTTCAATGTCTGAAACAAAGGAAACTATCAAATGAAAGTTTAATCGAAGTCAGCCCTACAATCGATTGTCAGCAAGTCCATGGTGATTACGTATCGATTGGTCGGCTTAACGATTTAGTCTAGTGGTGACCAATAGACATTGCCACACAAAAGCTCATGCCCTTATTGTATGAAAACAATATTTATTTAAATATCAAATATTAAAAAAGATGACGAACAATTTGAAGACACGACACCGACATAAGAATATTTCATCTTTAAAGCCACCTTCTAAGAATTTGTCGTAATATCAATCATAAGTTACAAACCTACCACTTTATGACAATATCCCAGTATTATTTTAAACCCATTATTCACATTAAGACCATTTTCGCGACACATATTGTATGAAACTAACTAGGTAAGTATACATTACAACAACTGGGAGACTGCAACTAACATCGTTTGCATACTCATTAATCAAGATCCAAGTATCCTATCAGTTTTTATAAAGTGTTTGTATCAGGGACTGAATAACCGAAAAATTACGATACCTTTAAATTGCGGTATGACGTCATACCGTTAAATAACGGTTACCGCTTAATTTCGGTATCGAAATTTAATTTCGGTACCGCTATTTTTGGGTATGAAATGAAAACCGGTATATTTCGGTAACAGTATCCTAACCTGAATAATAAAGGTATGAGAGAGATATTGACCGCGCTAGATCATCTATCCTATTTCATCGCATTGCATTAGTTTGGCTTGTTCTCTGGACACAATCACATGCGGCTCGCGTTATAATATTTTATGGTGTGCTGAGTTGAATTGAGATAACAATTATTAACAATGTCAAATAACGCACGAAAACTTATAATAACAGAAATAAGTAAGTATATGTACTTATTACTACTTATGTAATCTGATAATAACATACTTCTAGTTGACACGTAACGAGTACTAAGTACTAGTATCTTACCTACTCGTTGTCGACGCGTACGGCACGCGGCGGCGATCTAACGCCAGTAGACACGCTCACACACAGACGCTGCGTGCGTACTATTTTATTACACTTTTTATGTTATTACACTATAGCTCATTACTATAGTTTATTATAACGTAGTGTGTTATAATATTTTTTTTACCTTATAGGTATATATTTTCACGACATTTTTGTCAAAAATTGGTTAAATGCCTAAAGTTTTTTTATTTCTACCTCGTCGGGCGCGGATTTCCAGAATTCTTGTTTTGATTCAAAGGGTATACTCCCGAGATGGTCCTTTTCATTGAGGTCAGGATCTGATAATAGAAGCCTAGGAAAACCGAGGAGAACTTTCGAAAATTGTAGGGGCGTGTAATATGTGTATTGTTATTCAATTAGGATTTTTAAACTCTACCCCAGGAGGGTACCAGCTCCGCTGGAGAATCCCTCCCTGAGCATGATTGCTCAGGCAGCCCCGTCGTATCTTGGCAAATTCCCAACGGCGACGTGCTCTGCCACACGTCACGTTTTGTCTCCCCGTGAGTAGGCAGAAAGCGGGCTGAGGATTGCCTTTTTGCTACACTGAATGTGTGTGGAGGCGTAGAAGGCAAGATGTTAGAAATATGTGAGATGATGAATACAAGAAAGATTGATTTGTTAGGGATGAGCGAGACGAAAAGAAAGGGTTGTATGACTACCACACATGGCCAATATATTGCTTACTGGTCTGGTGTTGCAAGTTCCCAGAGAGGCAGCCAGGGCGTGGGGGTCATACTATCTGAAAGGATGAATGAATGTGTGAAAGAGTATAAATGTGTGAGTCCCAGGATACTTTAGATCCGCCTTAAAATTGGCTTGACCAAATTATTTGTCGTCTGTGCTTATGCCCCGGACATCTCAAAGCCAATTGGGGTGAGGGAAGTATTCTGGGATAACTTGAGAGATGTTCTTAATGAATGTAAAGAGAATGAAAGAATAATTATGCTTGGAGATTTTAATGGATGGGTTGGAGTGGCACGCGATGGGTACGATAGAGTATTAGGGCGATTTGGAGACGAACGAGTGAACGAGAATGGTGTATGTCTTCTGGATATATGTGTAGAAAAGGAACTTTTTGTGACCAACACAACATTTGGTCACAAGAAGATACATATGTATACATGGCAGAGGCATACAGAAAGAAGTACGATTGATTTTGTGATTGTTGATGAACGCCTGAGGACAAAACTGAAGGATACAAGGGTTTACCGTGGCACGAATGTCGGAAGCGACCACTTCCTAGTAATTACTAGAATAGCTGGACTGGCAATGAAGTGGAGACATCGGCCACGGGTAAGGTTGCTTGGAACCGAGAGAGTGAGAGTTGAACGGTTGAGAGAAGAGGCAGCTAGGGACCAGTACAGGAAACTATTAAATGAAAGGTTTAGGGAGCTAATGAAAGGTTACGAAAGGAATATAGAAGAATTTTGGAAGGAATTTAAGGATGGAGTGATCGCAGTAGCTACTCAAGTATGTGGGGTAAGCAAGAAAAATAACACTGGAAGCAAGAGGAATGAATGGTGGGATGATGAAGTAAAAGAGGTGATAGAGCAAAAGAAGAAAGCATGGCTCGACTTATTAGCCTCAAAGGCAAATAGAAGAGTGCTAGAAAGTATGATAGAAAAGTACATTAGTCTCAAAAAGAGAGCAAAAGCGGTAGTTAACAAGAAGAAAAATGAATGCAAGGAAAAGTTTGAAAGGAATTTTTCGCGGAACTTTCGAGCCAACGCTAAACTAT